CTGGCTATTCTCAGGACTGCTCTTTGCGTCACAAAATTATGTTCCCAATCTTCCATTCTCATTCTGCTTTGTCGCTTCCCCAGCCATGGCTGGAGCCGTTTACTGTCCGCGCAAGTCAGGCGACCCCGACGGTGCTCCAGGCTTGTGCCTAGGCTACCACACCTAACCCGAATCTGCCGCGTCCCCCTCATCTCCACTGCGTAAAAGTAAATGCTTGGATTGTGTGGACTTCATGGGGAATATATGGAGGTTAAAATTAGCGTGAGTGATCTTAAATACACTCATGTGACATAAACAGGAGCACTGAGACAGAATTAAACAGGTGTTGAGCTGGAGCGGTTGAGGGAGGAACAGGTAGTAATTCATTTCTCATCAGGAAGAACAAAGGGAAAAGAGGGGTCTTAAAAAACCTCAGCTCTCCTCCTCTCAGGCTTCCCCAGCGGCCCAAGGCAAACACACAATGCATAGGAATTCCCCCCAGGCTCCCCACGAAATAACTCGGTGTGTGTGTGGCCCAGGGGCGGGGAGTGGATGTAGCCTTTTAAAGTGGATTTCTTATCAAGAAACACTCCAGTGATTCACTGGCGTCAGACATTGTGTACAAAGCCTTATCCGCTGCAGGCCCACACACCAGAGGGCAGAAAAAAAGTAAGAAAATTTTACTAGAAACTCAAAGAACAAAATACAAATGAAAAATCTGGGCTTGAATCATGGGTTGAACACAATGAAAAAACAAGATTCTGGCTGCCAAACCTCTCCCACCTGCCTCGCATAGTTAGCATCTGGGCCTGGTTTCAATAGCAGCTTTGTAGCCCAGATGGCCAGCACGGCCATCCTAAGGGCTCCCTGCTCCAGGGACAGACTGAATGAGAGAGAGAGAGAGAGAGAGAGAGAGAGAGAGAGAGAGAGAGAGAGAGAGCCTCTCCTTCACTTGAACCCGAAGTCCCTAGTCCTCACATCATTTATAGATTGGCCAGCACAATTTTCAAGCCATGAATCCAAAGAAAATCCTATTCTTTATGCCTCTACCCTCTTCTCTGATTCTTTCTACAGATGCCTAACCGAAAACCTAGTGTCTCCTTGCCATATCCCAGACTGGGAATCACAAGGTGTAGTCCTGCCGGCTGCGTGCACACCCGCCCACACTCCAACAGGGACCCACTCCTCCCTCCCACCCTCTCTTCAACCCCTTTCGCCGCAAGGGCCACGCCCACCCCACAGATGCAGCACAGCTGTGCCTTCTCTCCTCCATCTCTCGCCCTCTTGGGTGCACAGGTGCCAAGAGTTACATATGCCAGGTGGGAAGCTGAATGAAACTGCCACGGCCGGGCAGTAAATGACTGGGTAGGTCTGGCGAGAAGGGAGGAGCTCCTAGGGAAGGAACCGGGACACAGGTGCAAGAAACATGGGGGAGTGGAGAGGTAAGCAGGCAAGAGAAAATCCAGACAATTTCGCCCACCTGAGAAGTTCTGTGATACGTCCTGATTTCTGTAAAGAAGCCAGTATTCGCTTTACTATTTTTGGTACGACAGGCTAAGGAAGGGCAAAAGTCTTGGTGGACCCAGGTTACGAGCACTGAGCTCTAAGTAACCGAGCCACCTGGCCACTCCTGGTGGACCAAGAGTAAACAGTAACACACGGCAGATCTGCCTCGGTAGCAGAGTCAGGAGGGCACTGAACTAAAACCAGGAGACGTGGCCTGGTCCCGTGATGTCTCCAGCTCACTGGGCAACGGAGGGCTGGCCTCTCAGTTCTCCAGACCATGACTCCCTCACCCATCACACAAGGGACAGCGCAGGAGCTCTGAGTCCTTGTGCTACCCTTGGAGGATCCGGAAACCTCAGGAGCATTCATTCCAACCTCCACTTCGGGAGATGTACCACGTAATTTTCACTTTATAGAGGTACTATCAGTATTTCTACAAGATGCCAAGTACCATCTTGGACGGCGATAGATGACAAAAGACAGGTAAGTTAATGGCCAAGTAAATGGGCAGGGTTAACAACAGCTTTCCAAAAAACAAAAACCCACCAAAGTGAAACACAATTCTCTTCCCTGTCCTCTCCCCCTGCTCCTTCCCTTCCTCTCTACTCCCCAGACACAGTAATGATAAAAAAAATTGGGGGACAGAGGTTCAGGCAACGCAGTACACTAGAAAGACAAATAGACTTAAAGCCAAGGGTGGATTGGCTAGTTAGTATTTTCAAATTACTTACTCATCCTTGGTCTGCTTGCTCATGGATGAACTGGGGATAAATGATGCTCACAATTACATGAAACACCACTGAGAGTAAATGCCTGCACAGAGTGTCTAGCAATCAGTTACAATCCATTCTTTCCACACTAACCTTAATTTGAAAACCGTTCCACAGACCCACCCTTGTGTGTATGTGCATCACACCGTCACATGTACACACAAATATTCCATATACACAAACCCAGCCAAACGATGGTCACAGCTGGGACTGACAAAGCAGTGGAAGGGTCCCAGCTCTGCTGTGCTCTTCCATTTTATCAACTCCATCTGTGGTTAGTGCAGGATTTTTCTTTTCTCCTTCCTCTCCCTACACTCTGCTGCCAGAGCTACTGCTGCCGAATCAGACCCTGTTAGTGTTCCCTTGCTGTTTCTTCTAGTTATCCTTCAGCGTTTCCCAGAATGAGTCTCACGCCTGCATCTATTTACTGATAGGTGATGGGGTAGGGCCTAAGGAATATTATTAGTTACAAAGTATCTGTTTTTGTCTAGCAATAAGGATTACTTTGGTCAAGGGCGCCTGGGTGGCTCAGATGGTTAAGCGTCTGCCTTCGGCTCAGG